ATGTGGGGCCACAGCGTGTCACCCCACAGGGCGCAAATGGGGGTGTGTGGGGGGGGGTCCCCGACCCCTGACCGCTGCTGGGCATGGACGGCGACCAGCCTTTCCCCAGTCCCAGTGAGCCCAGCAGCGGCCCAGTGTGATGCACCCGGCTACTGGGGCCGGTGGCAGAGGGGGACAGCCAACAGGTCTAAAAAGTTCTAAAATCCAGCCCAGGATGTCACTCTGAGGGGGGGGTCCGGGGTGGTGGGTGACAGGCAGCGGGTGAGCCCTCACCCACCGGACCCCTGCCCACAGCTGACGGGACCCACCGGCACTGCCCAAGCCGGCTGCCCTGCAGAGCCCCCCCGGGGAAACCCACGCAGACCCCCCCCCAGGCAGGGCAGGGATGCTGCGTCACCTGCCTGCAGGTGGGCACGCTGCGGGCAGCCCTGAGGCGTGGGGGGCCGGGGTCTCGCCCACCCTGTGGCGGGCGCAGGCAGGGAAAGGCATGGCGCAGGCAGGGACGGGCATGGCGCAGGCAGCAGTGGGCATGGCGCAGGCAGGGGTGGGCATGCCGCCGGGCGCTTCGCCGCGTGGCCGCACAGACCTTCCTTGATGGAACGGGACAAAGGTTTTGTTCTTCTCCCAACACTGCAGCCTTGTGCGGCCGCGGCGAGCAGCGGCGACAGGCGGCAGCCGGCGCGGCCCCCACGCTCCCACGCCACGGCGCAGAGGGGGAGTTTCTCCTCCTTTGTCTGCTCCAGGCGAGAGCGGCAGCCGGTGCGCGGCATCGCCGGAGCAGCCAGGGAAGGCCTCGGCAAAAGCCGCGGAGGACGGCGGCCGAGGTCCCCTCTGCGCCCCGGCACGGCCGCCACCACCTCGGCCTCACCGTGCTGGGTACGAACCTGCCCGCCGCGGGCAGCGATCCCGGGGGACCCGAGCTCTTCATGACGGAAACCTGACCGGGAAGCGTCCAGAGCGGGGACGGCGGCTGTGCCTGGGGACGGGGAGGACGGCAGCATTGGGGACAAGGACACCCGCGCCCCGTCCCCCCCCGCGGCGCCCGCTGCCGGCCATGGGAAACGGCATGAGCCAGGTAATGGGGAGCACTGGGGTGGCTGCTCTGCAGGGCCGGCCATGCCAGGGTGGCTTGTCCCGGCGTTGGAGGTGGGAGACGCTTGCCTGGCGGCTCGCTCTGCCACGCCAAGCAGCGTTTCACCTGCCGGCACCGGATCCGGCACAGGGCTCGGCCGCCAGGCAGCTTGTTTACCTGCTGGTGGAGCGAAATCGGAGGAGATGCAGGCAGGGATGCTGCGCCAGCCAGCAGCTGGGGCTCGTCCCCAGAGCTGCCCGGGGGGTGTGGAGGGCAGGAGTGACAGCGAGTCCCCTCCGAGGGAAGGGTGGACTCTTTCCCAATGTCTTTAAACCCCAGGCACCAGGTCCTGAGCACACACCAGGAGCCCTCTGCGACCCCAAGCCCAGCGGTCCCGCACCCCCCGCTTAGTGGGGCCGGGCTGCGCGTGGGGCTCAGCATCACTGGGCGGAGGGGACGGGCATTATTTTATGGTTGTTTGAGCTTCTCCCTGTCACAGCTGAACAGATACATCTTCCTGCAAGAATCTCCAGGTCCTAAGCTTTAAACACCCTTAATTGCTTGTTATCTGGGGAAGTGCCCAGAGCTGCAGACAGGGCTGTACTGCCCCGTTTCCTCCAGCGAGGAGTGGGTCAGAAGGGTGCTGGGGACGGGAATGTGCCGTTATTCATGGCTCCGTGTCCTGCCCTTGGGAGCTGCCCTTGCTAACTGGCGCTCTCCTACCCGGTCCTCTCGGTGCCGCAGCTGCAAGTTAAAGGCGCCCTGTCGATAGAAAATTCATCTAAAATCTTAGGAATCATAAGAAAAAACCCTCCCAAAGCTGTTCAGCCAAGAGAAATGTTTCCAAACGTGGGTAGTGAGATGACTGTGAGCTGTGCTGGTGGAAATCACCTCCACCTGCCCAGGTCCTGGGCACCAAACGTCGCAGCAGGGAGAAGCTGGAGGGGAACTGGCTGGACGTGGGGGTGAACAGCCCAGGGAGCCTCGCTGCCCAGGCTGGGAGAGAGGGAAAATATAAAATAGCTCTGGATAATAAGGGATGCAAGATATCCTGCTTCTGCATCTGCAGTGCTATTAACAGAGGCAATGTCAAGTAATTATCTTTTCATCATGAGAAGTGGAATTTCACAAGGAAAATAACATGAAGACCTGGTGTCCAGAGCAATCTGTTCCTGGGCTGTTAGAAATGGACTCCCTGCAGCTCAAAGCGACAGGAGCAGAGCTTGGGGCTGGGAGAGGGACCACTGCATCCTCCCCAGGCTCCTCAGTGCCTGTTGCTTCCCCATCCCTCGGACAGCAGGACATCCGCAGGTCATGGGTCTAGTCCAAGGCTGTATGGAGGCGTATGCAGTTTGCTGAGCTCAGATAATGGGCTCTGACAAAGAATTTATTCATAATAAGCAAAAAGAGCAACAAAAAAGCCGTGGCCAACTCCCAACATCCGTGAGGATGCAGCACCGCGCGGTTGCGCAGGTCGGGGTGCCGGGGCTTACACCCAGCTCCACATGCTGGATGCCAAAGCAGCAGCAGCCCCAGGAGTGTGCAGGTTCAGCTGCACCAGCACCACTGCTGCCTTGGGGCTGGTGACGATCACGTTAATGGCAGAACTTTGGCCTTTACGGCCGAGGTTGCTGCTTTCCATGGGGGATGCCAGCATGGTGGGTACCACAGCACAAGGCTGCTGCTCACGCTGCCACTTCTCCTTGTGTCCCGCAGATCCTCCCTGGCCTCTACCTTGGGAACTTCATCGGTAAGCGGAGCCCTGCCGCCGCAGAGATGTCCTCCAGCCGGGCAGCTGGGCTTGCTTGAGTTCGTCCCTCCCTGCCTGCAAACGCTGCCCGATGCCCTGCCAGCGCCCACCACGCGCTCCGCTCTGCCACTCGGTTTGTGTTGGCAGCAGCGAGAGTGGGGGCACCAGGGGGAAATGCCAGGCAGAAACCCTCTGCCTTCGCTTTGGTTTCCTTATTCAATGGCTGCCCTGAGCTCTCAGGACACACGGCGGGGAAGGGGCTGAGGCGGGGGACGTGGCCTTGCCAGGAAAGGTCCCAGCGGTGCCCAGCAAGATGTACCCCTGACATGACACCACCGGCTGGGACCGGGAAGCCCTCGCAACCGGGAACCCCCGTCCCACTTGCCCTGCACGAGGCAGTGAGCTGGACAGGCTGGGAGGGGATGGGAGCACATGGGGTGGCACAGGGCAAGCCAGGCTTTGCTTTCAAACCTCTCCCGAGTCCTGTGGGAGTTCACCCGCTGGGGTGGGCTGTGCCATGTGCTCAAGCTGGCATGGATCCTGTGCCAGGAGCAGAGGAGCTGTGGTGCCACAGCAGCGTGAAGGAGCAGGACCGGAGCCGCTCAGGGTGATGCACCTCAGTTTTACAGCTGTAGGAGATGCAGGACAGGGCTGCCCACCCTCAGGAGGGAATTTCTCCCAGAGGCAGAGTCACCCCTTCTCACACCAATTCACTATTTTAAGGGGTTTTCATTGTCAGGGGACAATTCATGACCAAGTACTGGCATCTGCCATGACAAACCAGCATTTATTAGTGCTCCTGCCTCCCTAATGGCTCTTTTGGCAGCTTGATTCTGGCTGTAAGTGCTGAGAAGGTTTAAAGCCACTGGTGTGAATTGGTAAGAAAATGTCATTGGAGCCTGAGTGGCAGCCTAGTGCTCCCTGCGCCCTATGGAGCTCCTTGTGGTGGGCTGGGGGGGGCTGTAGCTTGCTGGGAGCAGAGGGGCAAGGGTACCTGGCTCCCAGGTTCATCACGGGGGTTCCTGCGAGTAACCACTGATGTGGGGTCTTGGCCTGCTGCCACCTGAGCATCGCTCTACCAAGCAATCCAGGGTGACAACAGAGATTTCAGGCCTGCTACGTTAAGGTCTGTCTGCCCACAGAGATATTTTCTTCATCTGAAAGCTTTTCCAGCCACTGTAAGTCTCCATGCCGGTGTCACTAATTGCTGTCACTCTGCCTGCCCGCCCGAGGCAGGTGGGAAAGTGGTGGGTGCTGTGTGGGTTCCCACGAGGGTTCCCACCTCCCTCCCCACCGGCACATGGCACGGCTCGCCCGCAGAGCATCTCTCTCAAGACTCCCTCCTATTAAAATTCACATCATGCCATTAGCACATTGCGGTCTAGATTCCCAAGCCAAGGTTTTACACCATGTGAAAGCTTAGAAACCCAAAGTGACGAGATGGGAAAATGTTACTCCTCCTCTCCCGCAGCTTGTGCAGCATCCGCTGGTCGTGGCATGAAAGGGAGATGGCTACAAAGCTGCTCAGCCAGCAAGACAGTCATGCTCCCCTCCCAGCGTAACAACCGCTGTGCTGAACCAATGACCAGGATCACAGCCAGGGATGCTGAAGCATTAGTGAGAAGCAGGTCATTACCTCAGAAAGCCGAGGATACCTGGTTTCTGTGCATGCAATTGCAGAGGATACACGTAGAGCGCTGCGAATTGCCCTTCAGGTGTTTTCCACAGCTCCCTTGGGTGCTAAAGGGGAGCTCAGACTGAGCCAAACTCAGGGTTGATACAAATTGCTGCAGCTCCACTCCTGTAGTTCACAAGATAAAGCAGATCCCTCAGGCTGCGGTTAAGTCCCATTGCTATGTGCATGTTTGCACCGGGGAGGTGCAGGCAGAGCGTGCTTCTCCTCCCCAAGCTGGGGACAAGTACAGGCAGGCGGGAAGCTGCCTGCTTGCAAAAGAGGGAGTTTTTCCATGCAGATGTGAATGCTGACCCCAGCACAAGCAGCAAGGTCAAGTGCCTTCGGAGGGAGGAGGTCTCTGGTTTGGTATCATGGGGTTTGTGTTCCAGATTTCCAGGGTGCATTTGAGTATTTGCCCATGTCTGTGCCGCTGCACATGGGGGGTGTGATGCAGCTGATCCTCTGGAGCATAGCTTTGCATGGTGTCTTTCTGCAGGAGCACGGCAGATGCACTTGTGGGAAGAGAAGGGTAAGAAATGAATACATGCTAATATCTAGTTTTATCCTTTAGATGCCAAAGACCTGGAGCAGCTAAGTCGGAACAAGATCACCCACATCGTTTCAATCCATGAATCTCCCCAGCCCTTGCTGCAGGTAGGGTCCCGTGCCAGGCGCCACTGTGTAGATCCTGCAGCTCCTTCCATGCTGCAGCATCTTCCTTCCCCCTCTGAGCATCCCACGGCACGTACGGCTCTCCCCGGTCAGTGGTCCCAGAGGAGCTGGGCAGCCCCCGTGGCATGGGAAACTGGCCGTCTTGTGACTATAACCTGGCCTTGAATGCTAATGGGAAACAATTTCCAGCTCTCCAGCCTCATCTTGTTTCCCACTTCCTCCCATGAGCCGTCTGTCCCCCACTGCCCTCCCCTTGCCAAGGGAGAGAGTGACCCTGTCCCCATACAGAGGGATGCTGTGTTGGGGGAGCGAAGCCCCGCAGGCGGCACTGGGGTGAGGAGCAAAGGTGCTGCCAGATCGGCTGCATGCATGCGTGACACCCCGACCACAACACCCGAGTTTCCCCTCTTCCTTTTGTGTCTTCCAGGACATTACCTACCTCCGCATCCCCCTGCCCGACACCCCTGAGGCCAACATGTGAGTACCCCGGGGAGGTCGGGACCGGCTTGGGGCACACGGGAGGGCTGGGGTCTGCAGGGCGAACAGGGGTGAGGGCTCACGGCACCCCGAGCCCTTGAGGTGCCTCCAGCTCCTCAAGCGCAGCGACCCACGGGCTGGAGGCACGATGCCCCAGTGCTGGGGATCACCTCTGGACCCTGAGAGCATCCCAGCTCAGTAACTGCCGGGGAGCAGGTCCCAGCCCTAGAGAGAGGCGAGGGACAGCCCTTCTGCAGCACTGATGGAGAGGAGAAGCGAGCATCCCCCTGAGAGGTGCCTGGAGGGGGGGAGAGAGGAAGAGCAGCTAAGGGGTGTGGAGCCGGCCAAGTGCACCAGCACGGCTGGAAGTGTGAGCAGCCAAGCTCCTGCTGCCTCAGCACAAGGCACACGAGTCCCAGGGCAGCCGGGCAGCCCCACATGTCCCAGCACAGCGGCACCCGCTCCTGTCCCCAGCACAGCATGAGCTGGCCCATGCACCTTCCCTTGGGAAACAACAGCAGTGAGCTGCTCAGGTCTCAGCCTGTAAAGCAGCGGGCAGCTTACGTTAATGCTTCATCCTCAAACGCGCAGGGCTGCTCTGCCTGAAGCCTAAAAATCCTGTTCTGCCCCTGAAGTCCTTATTCTGTCTGGTTTATTTTTCCTGCTAGCAAGAGGCACTTCAAGGAATGCATCAGTTTTATCCACCAGTGTCGCCTGCACGGAGGGAACTGCCTCGTCCACTGGTAACACTTCTTTCCCCATGCCTGATGCCATGTCCCCCCAGCAGAGCAGAGAAGAAAAGATCCAGCCCCCAGGCCCCCGCTTTGGCTGCAGACCCCTGATCAAAGCCAGCCTGTGCCTGAGGGCTCCGTACCCACAGATACACCCAGGATCCACCCTTGGCTGCGGCTTGTGACTCAGACCCAGTGGGATCCAGGCAGCCCTGGAGACGGGGCAGCTTTTTGCTGCAGCTGAGCGAGTGGGAAGAGTGGGGTTTGGGGCAGGCGGCCAGGCAGCGGCCGCTGCTCTCGCTTCCCCAGGGAGGAGTGGGTATTTATAGGCACTGATGGAGAGGACCTTGGAAGGGCTCAGGCCTCCCGGAGAGCAAGTTCTCGGAGAAGAGGAACCGAAATAGCTGAAGCACAGGGGTGGAGGAAGGGGCAAGCATGAGGTCAGGGTGCACCGCCGACAGCAGCATTTCTGCCCTTTCCCTTGCCAGCCTCGCCGGCATCTCCCGCAGTACCACCGTGGTTGTCGCCTACGTCATGGCTGTCACGGAGCTGAGCTGCCAGGAGGTGCTGGAGGCCGTCCGAACCGTCCGGCCCGTCGCCAACCCCAATCCCGGCTTCAGGCAGCAGCTGGCTGAGTTCGGCGGCGGTGCAGCCCGCAAGGTGGGACCAGCCTCTGCCACCCATCCTCTTGCTCCATTGCTGAGCCTGCTCACGGGTCTCAGAGCAAGGACGGGTCCCCAGGGGATCAGGTTAATTCCCCACTCCCCTTGCTAGCAGGCTTGGACCTGCCATTGGAAACAGGCACCTTAGTTTGCTTCCCCCTCCTTCCCCAGGTCCGCAGGCACCTGAAGCAGAGGTACGGGACATCACCTTTCAACGACGAGGAGGAAATAAAGGCCTTGCTGCCGGCAGGGAGAGGAGGACCGTCCAGGACGGAGGGACCTCGGCAAGGACTGGTCCCAAGAGCCAGAGACATCAGGACCACGACTCCCTTCCTGCTGCGGGTGAAGAGGACGTTCTCCTGCATCCCGGCTTGTCTGAAGTGACCCCAGCCAAGGGAGAGCAGCAAGAATCACCCAACAGCCTGGGAGAGACGAAGGAGCCGCAGCACAGCGGGCTGGGGGAACACTTTGCAAGGGAGTTGTGCCAAGCCCAGCTCCTTCTTCTCTTCTGGGGTGTGAGCGTGCCATTCTCTGTCCCGGCTTTCAGCTCTTGGGGAGAGATTCGCATGCACTGCCGGGCTCTGTAGCGCTCGGTGGGCTCAGCCTCTTCGTATCCAGTGTATTAGGGACGCCTGGTGAAAGGCGCAGGTCTCTGCCCCCCAGGTCACTGCAGGCTCCTGCTCAGGGCAGAGCGACAGAGGGGATCTCTCCTGCCATGGGGCCAGCACCCAGGTGATGCCAGCAGCAGCTTTAGTGCTTGGGTACCTGCTGCACGGTCCTCGGGGTGCACAGGGTGCAGGAGAGCCGGCTCTCCCCTCGGAGCGGTTTTCCCACCAGCAGCACAAAGTCCCAGAGCCAAGGTGGCTGCGGAGCTGGAACACATGGGTGCATTAGCAGACAATGCCACCACACCGGCTCCGAGGCAAGGGTCCAGCTCCAGCCCAGCCAAGCACAAGCCCTGAGCGAGCACTGTAGCTTTAGGAATCCATTGCACCCCATTCCCACCCATCCCAGGGCACAATCTTTAAAAGGTGGGACCTAAGCGTTTAACCTGGCCAGACCTCACTAAACCAGAGCCTTAAGCCATTTTGCTTAAAGACTTTCTATGTCCCCCAAGTAATAAACACCTATTCTCCACAGTCTGCCTGGGGTGCAGTCTGACTCCCCTGCGATGGCCGGATCAGAAGGGGGATGCTGAGGAGGAAGGTCCTGGCGTGGGGTGGGTCTGGAGGCTGCTGCTGGCTGCTTTCTGCAGCCCAGGGAGGACTGGGGAAGAAGTGGGCTGGGGGAAGGTTACAAGAGAGGCCACAAACCTGGGTGCCATGGCAGGGCTCTCTGTGGGGTCAGGGTCTGCTCCAGGAGAGGTCGGGCAGCAGCTGGTGGGCACTCATGCGAAGCCTGTTTCACTGCAGCCTCTCCACTGACCGGGTCCGGGAGCACCAGGTTCAGGAGACTGCTGGCTCCGGCTGCTGGGAGCACTGGGAGCCTGGCACCAGCTGAGCACCACAAGCCCCAGCTCCTCCCAAGAGCTGTCCTATCCACAGCTTTCCCTGGGGCAGAGCACCAGGTGGGGAAAATGCTGGGGATGCCCAGCTGGGTCATCAGCATCTCCCCTGCTGGGAGCCAGAGTGTGGTTCTGGGGTCCCCCTCATCCCCGCCAACCCTCTCTCACGAGGCAGGGTGTCCCCCAGTAGCCAGACAGGGACAGGTACAGGTGCCTGCACGAAGGTTTCCAGCTCTGCATGTTATGGGGTGCCAGGCATGGGGTCCCAGAGTGAAGGAACTTCCCGAGAAGCAGGGACTGCCTCTGCCGTGGCTGCTTCCAGGAGACATCAGCGTGGGACAGGGCATGCCCACCAGTAATTAATAATCGCTCATTTACCCTTGTGTGGAAGCTGTGGCTGAAGGCGAGCAGCTCTCTGGGCGTCCCAAGGGTCCCTTGGTGTGGGCCATGCCAGTGCTTGGGCAGTGCCGGGCCCCCCGTGCCGCGAGTGCTGCAAAGAAGTGCATGAAGCGGCAGGGACAGGAGGGGCTGGTGGCTGAGATGGTGTTATACCCACTGCCCGGAGCTGGTGTACCATGCCATGCTCCACCGTTTGGCACCCTAAGCCTCCCTTTTCATTTACATGAGGGTAATTTAGGAGGGGGCTGCCGCAGCCGCAGCTCCTGGGAGCCTGGAGGTTCCTGTGTAAGCAGCCCCTCGGCAGGACTCACACACCCGCTCCTGTTTCACTTCCACAGAGCTTCGGGGCTGTGGTTCCTCGCTGCTGCCAGCACCTGCCTGCCGGTCTCGGTGTTGTCTTGGGGTGACCTAGGCAGGCTGGGACCCCAAATCCCGCCTTGCTGGAGATAGACGCTGACCCCACGGAGTAACCAGGGGTTACTCCATCCTCCACTGCTCCTGCATCCTCCGCCATGGGGTCCTCCCTCTCCTCCCAGCTCTCCCTTGCCCCCAGGCCAGGGCTCTCCAGCACCCTTTGGCCCCCCAGCACCCAGGAGAGTGGTGGCCCCGCACACCAGGACCACAGACCCAGGATGGATATGTGCCTCGTGCATGGCTGCACCCTCCCGTCAGTCCCATGCAGGGACGCGTTGTGCGCCGAGGTGTTTACAGCCAAGGTTTCCCTGTTCACACTGTAAACCCACGGCGAGGCCAAACACTGAGCAATGGCACCTCCAGCCCAGCTCTGCGGCACATAAAAATGTATTTATTCTGGCAGATCTGGTTTGCACAACTGGAAAAACCCAGGCGAGGGCAGGGTTAGCTGCGAGTTAATGTTTGACTCCTTTTGAAGCTCATTTTAGCGTGAAAAGTTTAAGGGTTAAGCAGCTTCGCCTTCCCTGCGCAGGGAGCAGCACAGCAGGGAAACTGGCTCTTGAGCGTCTTCGCTGATGCCGGGGTAATTAGATCCTGAGGGTCCCGCGGGTCCTGCACGTCACCACGCGGCTGTCACACAAGATGAAATCCCTGGCTGATAAAGGCTTATCCTGTTGGGCTGGAGCTGGCTAACGAGCTGGCAGCTACAATCATCTCCCGGCCTTGGATGTAATCAGCGCAAGCTGTTGAGAGGGGCTGTGCAATGACCCCTTGCCATCACCCCGCTTCCCAAAGCAGAAAGGGGAGGTGTGGATTCTCCATCTGTCAGTCCCGGACCCTTTTCCCAGAACACAGCCCATGGGTTGCCTGGACAAGGGTCTCAGGGATGGCCAGGGTGCTGCCCCAGCAAAGGCGCAGCGGGCTGGAAATCCCCTTCTCGCTGGGGTGGTGCGGAGAGCAGAGCGGCTTCCTGCGCTGCCCTGAGCACGGCGGGCTGCCAGCCTGGCTATGGCAGCACCGAGCAGGATGGCCGCGGGCTGCCAGGGCAAGGGCGAGCATGGCCCAACGCTGGCTGGGCCAGGGGGGGCCTACATGCCACCCATCTCCCTCTCCTCGAACCCGGACTCCCTCAGCTCTTGGCACTCTGAGCCACAGTGCTGGCATCGCCACCTCCTCCTCCCAGGCAGGGAGACCCGCGCTGCAGGCAGACCCCCGGTTAGCTGCGGCCCCGCACCCCGAACGGGCGCAGGCAGGGCGGGTGGGCTTTGCTTTGCGGCAAAGGGGCCACGGACAGGCTCGGTAAGGAAAGCAAATTCCTGCCAGCGTGCCTGGCTCGTAGGCACCTGCATGGCCCCCTGTGCCCGCTGTGCCACGCGGCTGAGCCCCCGTCCCCATGTACTTTGGAAAAGCCCGGGGCTGGGCGCTGTGCCGCTGCTTATTCATTTCGAGGCTTCGCAGCCCCGAGCAGCTTGCCAGCTCTTGGGAGCTTCATCTCTCCTCCCTGAGAGAGGTGACTTTCTCTGACTCAGAGCTGGAAAGGAAACCCAGCGGGCTGCAAAAGGAGACCCAGCGGGCTGCAAAAGGAGACCTGGTGGGCTGTGGGCTGGGTGGAAGAGTTGGGTTTCCCCGCACAGCAACATGTGACTCTGCAGCAGTGATGGAGGAGCTGACACCGCTGTCACTCCAGGGCGTACCAGTGAGACCAGAGGGTAAAGCCCACCCAGCCTGTGCCCTGCTGGTGGGATGGGTGGGGGGGTCACATCGCCAGCCCTGCTCCAGCACAGCCCTGTGCAAGGGCAGCCGGGCGGTGTTTGGTATCAGCCAGCTCCATCCCTGCCCCACGTGAGGTGAAATCCCTCTTCCTCCTGAAAGGACAGCTGAGCTGGGCTCCTCACTGGAAGGAGAGAGGGACAGACCCTCCTGGTAGCGGTGGCATTGAGGAAGGATGCTCAGGAGCCAGCCAGGAGCGAAAGGGCTGTCTGGGACCCTGTGCTGGGCCCAGCCCTCTCCCAGTGCTGACGTCCATCTCACCCACGTGTGCACCAACACAAGCACCCACCTCCCCGCAGAGCAGTGCAGGCGCGGGAAGCCATTTCCCGAGGCGTGGGAAGGCTGGTGCCCAGAAGAGCCATGACCATGGGCACTGGTGTCTCCTCTGCAGGGACGGCTTCTGCCAGGAACCCCTGGGCCAGCAGGGAGCTGGCATGGGCGCGGGATGAGTCAGGCTCCTTCACTGGTCCCCGGCAGCCCTTGGCACAGCTCTCAGGCCTTCCCACCTGGTTCCCATTCGACTCAGCACCCGGAGCCCCGCAAGGCAGATGTGAGTGTTAGAGCGGAGGAGAGATTCGAGAGATGGGGCAACGTCACTGCTCACACCAACCTGGAAACCCCATGCCTGTTCCCGCACCTCCCCACACCCGTGGGCTGAGGTGCTGGTCCCAGGAGGGCACACAGGCCCTGGGCAGGGAGATGTCCTGGTCCCCAAAGCAGAAGGAGGGGAGAGGAGGGTCCCTTGTTCCCTGCAGGGAGGGTGTGGGAGCCCTGAAAGTCTGAGAGGGAGCACCCCGGAGGGGTGCAGCGAAGTCCCCTGTGCTTTCTGGTGCCCTGTCCCCCCTCCCATGGGTGCGAGGTGCCCGTCCCCCTCCTGTAGGCTGCCCTGTCCCGTCTCCTGTGGGTGCAAGCTGGGTGTCCCCTCTCCCGCGGGTGGCCCCATCCCCTCTCTTGTGCATGTGAGGCGGGTGTCCCCTCTCCCGTGGGTGGCCTCGTCTCCTCTCCTGTGGATGTGAGGTGGGTGTCCCCTCTCCCACGGGTGGCTCCGTCCCCTCTCCCGCGGGTTGCCCTGTGTGTCCCGCCCGCCCCTGCCTGGCGGCAGAGCCAGAGCCCGCGGTGTTGGGCGGGAAAAGGAAAGTGAAAGCCGGAGCCGTGCTTTCGCTTTCACCGCCCCGGCACGTTCCCTCGGGGCGGCCGGGCCGGGCGAGGGGCCGCGATGGCGGAGCCGGGGGCACCCATGCGGCTGAAGGAGTGGCTCATCGCCCAGATCGACAGCGGCCGGTACCCGGGGCTGCGC